GTTACTATAATAGGTGTCATTCTCAGCTTCCGACAGTTGTCACAGTCAGCACTGGTCGACGTGTTGGAGGAACGTATACCGTTTCTGTTGAGCTCTATATTGGACTTCAGACATCATCTGCCATCCGGCGATCCTATGCGCGTCGTCTCCGAGATGACGTCGGCTGCAGGCTTGACTTGCAAAGTCGATCCCACTTTGACGACAGCACTGCGAAACCAGAAAGCTGAAGTCGACGAGGACGAGCACTTGCTTGTTTGCTTGTTGATGGTCTTCGTAGCGGTTTCCATTCCGAAATTGTCTCGGAACGACAACTCCTTTTACAGAGCGTCGCTCGAAGGTCATTCCAATAACATACATTGCATGGCTACAGCAATAAATAATATATTTGGAGCATTGTTCACGATTTGTGGACAAAATGATATAGAGGATAGAATGAAGGAGTTCCTTGCTCTGGCCTCGTCGAGCTTGTTAAAATTAGGGCAAGAAGCGGACAAGGAGGCAACTCGAAACAGAGAGTCCGTGTATCTTCTGCTCGATCAAATAGTTCAAGAATCTCCATTCCTGACGATGGACTTGTTGGAGAGTTGTTTTCCATATGCACTGATACGCAATGCATATCACGATGTGTACAAACTTGAGCATTCGCAACCGTGAATTTAATAGCGAAATTATGAGGTGCTGCATTTATAACTTGCCACTCAGGGCCACTTTTTTTACGTCCACTTATAACATCGGAAGCAATCGTAAAGACTTTGCTATTATATATCTAGCCGAATGATAATTTTCTGGATAGGATTAGTTTTCGATTAGTATCGCTGAAAAAGTACAAGCATATATTATGTCAGCGAAAGTATGAGAGAGTGGTAAATGCATAAGAATGTTCAAGGGTCGATAAAGTTATCTACAAATTATTTCTCGATATTTCAACAGAACGGTAAAGCTTGCGACATTGTAATACACTTTAGCCATTTCTACGTTGCTTGTGGCAAAAATCGCGCCACATTTAATCTGTATAATTGAGATCTGTTTATCGCAAATATTTGTCTAATTCGATTGTCTTTGTAAGAATCTTTATCGAAAAAATTAATCGATGGACAATTTGTGTCACGAATTTTCTAATATATTTGAGATGACATGTAATAAGCATTTTGTACAGTATTTTCTCAATTCTATATTTGACGCTTGAAATTCGTTAATAACACAATATTAAATAAAAACATACGATTGCGTATCTTAAATTTCAATTAGTATTATAGTTTAAGTCAAAGAATTTTTCTGTTGCACTGGAATGTATGATGTAAGTTCCATGACTTCAAGCTAAAGATCGCGATATTCATGTATCACACAGTAGGTATCATCATTTACCCACTATGACTTTTTAATGTACAATTGTAACTCTTTTACAATAGTTTATATAACAAATAAAACTATATGTACAAAACAACGATTCGTAATCTTCACTATCCTCATCGTTCCAAAGATTACAAACGAATAAATGTAAAATGTATGCTTTATTTAATTCTTTACAATGTTTTGTCTTTTTTAATCACATTAACATAACACAAGAGATATTCACAATCATAATTCATTTATTTATAATATCCTTAAAACACTCGCCGCATTCTAAACATTTTGGGAAAAAGAGAGAGTGGTGGTCTGAAGCTACGTTCAGCGATTGGTCAGTATCATGCTCGGTTATAATTTACAATAAAGACAATACACTCTTAAAAGCATATCACCGACTAAAAATAGAGATACGGCACGAACGTAAGGGTCACTTGGTGTTCAGTGATATCCAAGTAACAAATAAAAACGTACGATTCCTGAAGAAAACAATTCGTCGTTTGCGAAGTGATTCAGTACAAAGGGCACGAAATTACATGCTTAAATAATCCCAGATGCACGATGTTGATAGGTCACCACGTTTTTGGATCGATAGAAAAAATATAATCTTCGATTTTCTTTTTGTTCTTTCCTTCTCTAACATTATGTACAAGTGATAGAGTAGTGTGTTGTATGTGCATCGCGTCACAGTAATGCGGTTCTGGATTAAGATCGGTACGCCAATCGCGTATAGTCTTGAAAATTACGCTTTCGTTATCGTTATCAACGTGATACGTAACGGTGACACATTGCAACGAACCGTACAGGAAGTTCATTATTACGGAGGAATTAAAGTCGCATCTTAATCCGGATGCCGCGGAAATGAATAAGCTTAAGCATATGTAGTTAGAGGTCTGGGACAAATGATGAAGGAGAATTTATCCTTATTTCTTATTAATCCTTTCGTACGCGCAAGCGACTTCATTCAACTAGTAACTACACCCTGACCCCATTCCATGCTCGCTCTTTAGGCTTTCGGAACGTAACAAGGCATTGCTAACTATTTTGTCGTCTTGGATATTCGTTACGTCGCGTACGAATTTGTACATGCGATTTTTGATCATAACAATTCAGTCGTTCGAAATGCTAGTGGCAGTGAAATGGAAGCAAAGGTAGTTCGCGCATCAATAACGTTCGATCGGGATATCAACTCGTTCCGAAAGCAAGTTCTAACTACCTCAAGATTGCTCGTCAAATGGCAGTGGCTTGGAACGAAATGATTACCCAGAGATTCTCGATGACTTTTCGAACGACATTATTCCGTTTTTTTAACGTACAGAAAAGGTCTTCTTTCTTTTTCGGCGTAAAATGAAATTTAATAAAGGACGTATAAAAAAGTCTTCTTTATCTGACGGTTGTCTAAAATATTCATGCTATTATCGTACATTTAGAAGACCGTAATTAACATTTACATTGGCAGAAAACATTTCTAGCGATATACTATAATTAATATATTAAAATTAATCAAATCGCACCTGGCTACGTTCATTGGCAGTAAATCTCATCCGTTGAGTGTCACGGATTGTTGCTCGCATTGAAACATATTAAATCGTTCAATAATATTACGAGCGGCTGTGAATGGGGTCAAACGAAATTTTTTTGCACCTATACGCAAGAAATCTCGAAATTTCCTAAATAACGTACGATTTCTCCGGTCCACGATGAATCGCCAAAGAAACTCATACTTAAAACCCAGAGGCTCGATTACACGCATGTACAGACACTCGCACGTCATCCCTAAACTTCCGTTCTGATTACAAAATACAGAATAATATTTCGCTATAATACAGATCTGATATAAAAACAAGTATTTTTTGTATTCGCTTTACCATCCGTTATAGTTATATAATCATTTTATAATGTATCAGTATATTTACACAGATATACACACTCGCGATCTATCTCTTTCGCGGTCTCTCACTCAAATATTTTCTCGCACGCCCAAAAAATTTTTTACTTTCCATTTCATTTTCTCGTAATTCCTCTCACTTACTCTTTTCCTCACGAAACCTCATATGACCCATCTAATAATCACATTGCATCTATTGTACATTTCCACACGATCCGCAAACTCGTATTATAGCGTCACGTCTTTACTGGCACCTCCTCGTTTCAATCCTGCATCCCTATATTCAATTTTCCGCCTAGATAAAACACAGTCTTAAAGTTACAACGCAGAGGGTTGTAATTCAATTGCGGGTAGACATAGAGATATCAATTACACCAATCGATATTTAAAAATACGATTTCCGTTTTTAAATTCTACGAATTTCTACATGAAAAATAAAATCAATGCCAAATTTCGGAACAGTCTCGTTTTGCTCAAAATTTACAAAAATAATATGAGGATGTTTAAAAATAAGTGTTTTGTTATATGAACGATTCTGCGTAATAATTATAAAAAAAATTACGAAATTAATTTGTTTTTTAATCTCTCTTTACAAAAATTGCATTTGATCGATTGTTAGATTAAAATGTTAAAGATATGAATTATATAATTAAAAAATTGCTAAAAATAAATCATAAAAATCAATTATATAAAAAGAATTTTAATCTCTAACACACAGCTTTTCTCTGAGATGATTTGTTTCGATTAATTATCGCTAATTTAAATGTCACATATGTTTGTTATTATTCATTGTAAATGGAATATATTATTGTGAACAGGAATGGACATCGATCTTGACGTTTGTTACTTGTTGCACAAAGACGTCGATAAAAGAGCGAAAAAGAATTCAGTCATTTGTTAGATTTGGCGTTTCAGAAAAGGGAAGTGCATTAATCGTATCGACAACGGTTTGACAGCACCAGATACGATTCACTTCGAGGATGAGAACTGACCTCGTGTTTCTCGCTTACGAGTATGCAGCTGTGTACATGTGTGAGCCCATGTATATATATATATATGTATATATATATATTTATATATATATAATATAATATAACATGTTCGCACGTTTCGATAAGAGGGCTCATCTTTGGTCCGCTATACGCATAACTGCGTGTTTACGGTGCAGCCCCCGACTTAATATAGCATGTTTAATTAAAACTCGTTTTTAATTAAATATTAACTTATAACATTCGCAATATAGGCGGAGATAAATTATCAACTGCAAGATATAACTAATTAATAATAATAATCAGCATAGCTTAATAATAATAATATCATCTTCATTCATGTATAATAGTTAATGGAATATCGCTATAGAAACGCATCATTTTGTTGTTGCTGCTCTTATATCCTTCGTAATCTCGCATAACTTCGCTTTAAAATTGGCTAATACAAATTAGTATAAGAATAATACATATCATTAATTATTATTCTACAATGGTACAGAGATCAAGTAAATGACCTGTGATGTGATTTGGTAATGGTAAGGTGCCATTTCGCTCCAGAAAGCCATTTAAAAAATATTTTAGTTATTAAAATTGTAGATAAAAAAAGAATGCGTATGAATGGTGAATACTTTATACGACAATCTCAATTTTCTTGCCCATATTGCAAGAATCTTGTATATCTGCTGTATCAAGTTTTAAAATAAAATAAGATTGTTTATCGTTTTATAACATTCTAATCTAATAAAAAAAAAGATTTTTCACTTTATATATTTTTCACTTTTATTTTATTTACTTGTCGATAAACAAAATAAGAACACAATAGTTGCCTTTGGAAAACACATTTATAAGTATGCGCCGTTTGCCAAAGGACATACATATATTGTCTTATTGCCAATTTTCCATTAAATTTTAATTTCTAACAAACAAGATTTTAAAGATTCTCCACTTAATCTAACTTTCGAGAGCGATATGCACGAGTATCGACATCTCGAAGGACGCCGTCACACAAAGACCGTACGATCTTGGCTTTAAATCTTCGTAATGGCGAGGATGTGACGTTTTTTTTCTTAACATTGCCGCGTTCGTCGCTTTGCGAATGCAGCGTCGATCACTAAAGCAAAATGAATCACACGTTGGATCGATTTAAATTACTTTGATCATATAACAATATCACCTTCACTGGCGGAGCCATTCTAAAATTTGATCATACGACGAGTTTTTTAAATGACGACGCGAAAGATCGAATTGGTGCTACATAAAAAAGATTACATATATAAAATTCTCGATGCTCACGATTTTCGCTATATACTCCATTATTTTATCATCGTGGCTCCGGTCAAATCAATCTTCCGAGTCGTCGTTCGTTCGCATTTCCACGAAATTACATCTACCAAACCGATACAAAATGAGAGATCAATTTGATCATAAATACATACTTTCTTTGTATCTACGCGCGGCTCTTTACGCGAATTCTATGCAACTCAGGTAAAAGAGCATATCGCTGGACCTCTCAATCTTGTTCGATCATTGTAACTGCTCGTCATTATTGCTTCGACCTCGGTTAAGAGACATCGTCGCATCCCTTGGAAAGTGGATCGGTTTTCTTCGCATTTGGCAATCGTTCTACACAACGGCTCGTGGGGCAACGCCGCGATTGGTGGTCCTCGTCCGTGACGACGTCCTAGGATCGTCACACCTTGTTGTGATGCCTCATCTCATATGCTGCGCTCCTCCCCCCTCCCCCGGAGCCCGAATAGGCGCCGGCATACAGTTCTGGGTGATTGGAACGGCCGTAATTGTCTGCTGACCCGCTACTTGGTGGCGCACTAGCTGTGGGAACCGAGCGATATCCTGCTTAAAGTTTAGAAAAATGTTCGACAATGAAATGAAACGCACAACCAAAAGTAACACCGCGGGTATGCGAGGATAGAGGATTGCTGCCACTGTGTACAACAGCCAAATAAAATATGACAATAGGGAAACAGTCGCCGCAATCTCCACTCTTTCTGCATATCCTTCGCGTGCTATTTCTCTCTTTCTACTTAATATGTACTTAATATAGCTAATAATATTATTCTGGAAAGTTATAATTCAGAATCAGTAGATGATACAAAATCAGAAAGGAGGAGCTCGGCTTCGACATTGATTAGGAAAGAAAAAGTATTTCGCTAGCATCCAATGCAATGCCATGAACAATGAGCTAGGAGCAAATACATCAAGAATATATCAATATTTTGATTTTTCTAAATAGTAATACATTATGCGACAATGATATTGACATTTATGAATTTGCTCCTATTAAGCGTAAGAATATAGGCCCCAGGCTCACCTCTGCAGATCATAGAACGATAGTATCGGGTAGTCATAGATGCGCGTCAATGCGAGGAAGATGCAAACAGGAAAAGACATTGATGTAGTTGCGGGTCACACAAGGACGAGAAAACGCGAACAACGTTAGCTTGAGTTTAATCCGCATTAGCAATCCTTTCTTTCACACTAGAGTATATGTATTTTTACGATGTATGCAATGCTGATTGGTGTTTAAGCATAGGAACTAAACTCAAGCAACGAGAAATGTATAGATGAGATTTAATGCTAATTTACCTTTTGGATAATATTGAGCACCTCTACCCTCTCCATACCCATGAGAGGGTCCACGTGTTCCGTGACCACCTTGACTTGGTCTCGGAGGTATACTTCTTGGCCCAGGTCCACCACCAGCGTGCGGATGTCGCTATAAAAATGACAAGCATTAAAACGTTGAACAAGATGAAATATTTCTTACTTCAAACATACGAGCAAACTTTTGTATGTAAATTATATGTTCTTACCATTCTTCTAAGAGTGTTCATCGGTCTTGTCAATGTATCACTGATGCGCCTTGCAGGTGGCTTTTTAGGATTAGTGGAAGGAATGTGCACCGCACAACACTTGATAAACAGTCCCATAAATATGATGAAAGCTATACCCATTAGTAATACCGCCCACCAAAATTCCTGAAACAAATAATAAATAATGTTATGAAATAGAAAATAGATAATACAGAGATAAGAGTGACAAGAAAATGTTTATGCTTACAGTTATCCATTGTGCTACCGACGATAACGTTTCTTTATTGAACAACAAGTTTTTCAATCTCGCAAGCGGTCCTTCCGTATCGACAGCTCGGCATTTTAAGAAAACATCGCAGTAACCCTGAAGAAGAAAAATAAAAATTTATAAATATGTAATTTTCAAAAAAAAAAAAATTAATAATCCGTATACTCCCATCTATTAATCTATCTATTAATTCTATTTCATCTGTACGTAAAAGTTAATAATTTACCTGAAAATTATCACAAGGTGAACCAGGTCTAAGACTCATTCCACCCTCGGGCAATCCCACCATGTGCGCAAACTCGCTTGTCCCGCGACATGTTGATGCATCAGTTCCATTTTGACAGGCTAATTCGCACAGTTTTCGCTTATCAATGTTCGGTATGATGCTGCTCGTTAAAAAGCACTCCGTCAGATTCCACTCCAGACAAATAGATCCTGTGCATTCCCCATTGATGCATAGCTGTAAATAATGCGTTGTTGAAATCAGCATCGATGATTGGTTAAATCGTACAATTCACAGAATAACACAGAGCGTGATTACTTGAGTGCCCTCATTGCATCTAGTCTTGTTGGCTTTCGGTAGCGGCGCTGGGCATTCGGAGGACCTCCCACTGCATGTAGAATTGTAACTACAGTCTGATTCGGCTCTACATTGGATTCGATGAGAGAGGGGTACAAACTGGCACGTTTCACTCGAACAGCAGGGTCCTTGACTAGGACTGCAAACGCATAATTACATTTATGAGGAAATGAATCGGAGCACTGTCATTTGCTTCCACGTATTACATTTTGCTTGCACGTATTACAATACCTGCATTGTGTTCCATATTTTCTATTGCAACCTTTCGCCGTGTCATTCTTAATCTTATCCAGCTCAGACACCTGTCTAGGATAGCAGCACTTGTCCACGCACTCGTCGTCATCGTATCCGCAATCACACTCCTCGCCAGCCTCGACAATTTTATTCCCGCAAAACGCTCCTGTAAATATAATAAATGCAATATTCATTAGATTTCATCAGACAAGTAGAAATGTTAGAAGCGAACATTTCTTTCTATTGTTCGTTTAATCTGTTCTGAAGATTGCTGTAGCGTGAAGGGAAAATATGATGTAAAAATACCAGTGAAACAGTTCCTCTTCTTATTATCCTCGATAGCATCTAGGACGTTGCTGATATTGCCAATGCTGCACTTTGAAAACTTGCTGTTGTTCGGTCGATTTCCACTCGTCGCTGAGGCGAACATAATGTAATTACCGTCCAAGCCTCCTGGTCTGCATTCCGGTGGAAAATCGTGCTGGAAAAAAGGTGATCGTTATCTCTGCGCTTCGGACAAATTAAACTCGTATGTCTACGAGAAAACATTTTTTTTTGCCGGCTTACCGGTGATCCGAAATTATGACCTATCTCATGCGCCAGAGTCAATTGCGATACTTTAGGCGGTACACGGCTGTTGTAATTCACGAAAGTTATAATACCAGTATTGAGGGATCTCTTAGTGGATTGATATAGACCGGACACGGTCTCGGTATAAGTCTTGAACTTCTCACAGATACCACCGGACGCGCCGGACGCGGAAGCAACCCAGGCGAGTCCGAGTGTACCACCGGTGAAATCCCTGTCGGCATAGAAATAACGTTTATGAAGAAGCCTCAAATCGATATGGAATATAGCGTAACGTTTAGTTACTTCGCTTACCTGTAAGTAAAAACATAAGCGAGACAGAAATCCTCATGATTCGAGAGAGAATGAAGATTGAGGAAGTTGCTAACATCGATGTTCTCTAAACAGAAGGGGTTGGGTTCGCTGTACGGCTGTTGAGGCGTGCACGCCGTCTCGTCATCGATCTGTTATCAGATATAGCAAGTGTGTCAGTTTAATAAATTCACACATTGACGGGTATTCATACAATGACGTGTGTTATTTTCGACTCGATACCGTTACCTTTATTCGTTGAACCTCGAACTTGATGTTTCTGTGCTCCGTCCTGCCATCAAATTTCGTGTCCCTGTAGATATAATTCACGGCGGTGACATGATGTGCGATCAAAGACAATATTTCTTCTCTGGTTTTTTCCGCATCGTGATGCAGCTGCAAATATAGAAACATGAACCCTGACTATTCGCGTGGCAACTGTCCGAGATTGCCCTATCTTTTATTCTACATGATAAAATTTTTCCCTTGATGTACTCATATTAAACAGAATTTCCGATATACAAATGTTTAATTTCTAACACCAAACAGCTTGTAATTAAGTCTCAAATATTGATTTTCTTAGCGTGGCCATTTATTTATATATATAAATATGTATATTAAAATTTAATATATAAGCTTTATATATATATTTCCTAAATTTTCACGTTAATTATCCTAAGTAAAACTCTCTATAAATTTTTATAAAGAGAAGCTCGAAAAAATTTGTCTAAACAAATCATTATAATTGCTTTCTGTGAAATGTGCTCTCTGCAAGAGTACGGCGATATCAAAGTCGGAACATAGGGCACAGGAGGAATATTCTTTTTGCGAAGAACACTGGAATGCGGATGGTGTCTGGTTTGTTGAGAAAATGCAAAAGGGAATTGCACTGACCGTGCTGCCGACGAAAACGCATATGAATGTGACCATAGGAAGAGAACGGTTGGTATTCGAGGTATTTCTCTATTGTGTAAGGAAATACTGGAATTCTCTAGTTACAAATTGCCAGCGAGAATTGGGTCATTTCGTCGTTCTAACAATCTGATATCCTATCTCTACTTCTTTTACTTGATCATAAATGTCAATCTTCTATGTTATTTCTTTTTATTGCTCGATAAATTAAAGATAGAATGTAGGAAAAAATATTGAATTTTTAATTTCAAAGAATAAATTCATCAGCGAAAAAGCAAAAAAAAATTTTTTTTTTAATTTAATTAAGTATATTAATTTTCCGTATATTTTAAAATTGTTTAGATATAATTATAAATATAAAATAAGAGAAATAAAAAAAATATCTCTTATACTAGCTAAAATATAAATTGCATTCGGATATTCTCGCATACAATTAAAAAGAAAGAAAAAGAGCATTATAAAATATATGTATCTTCGAGATATACTAAAAAATTGCATAGATTTAAAATTGCCTAAAATAATTTAAAGAACATCTCTTCAGTGAATTTGCGATATATTTAGGAGCTGTAGACTTAAAACAAATTTCACATACCTGTTCGGAGATGTGCCTCCATATAAGAGGATCCGTTTGGATGAAAAGCGAGCAGGTATTGTTTTCTTTCGACCTAGTCGCTCTTCGTGGCCTGCGATGACTAGGTTCATTGGCTTCTCTACTGTATTTGTGACCAGGAGCCTCCCGATCTCCGTTCCAAGGTGCGACATTTGGTTTCGGCTCCTTCTGGTTCGACGATGGGACCGTTTTAGGCGGTTCATCCGGTGCAGCAGAATTCTGCACGCTTTCCATCCATTCTATCACATCACTATTAGTAATACCACATCCACCGCCATCACCTGAAAAATTCAACATTAACTAATCATTATTTCATATAGGACTTTATAAATCTAAAAATAATCGGAGGAATAGTAATAAAATATTACAAAATTCTGCAATAAAATACTCCAGCAATTTCTACGATATATATACAATCAGTCATCAATTATTAAATGAGAACTAATTATCAACGCTGATTTTTTACATAATAAAGACATGTCCATTTATTTGTAATTCGAATTGACCCTAACAGGAAATAGCAGGGTAATAATAGAGGTCATTGGTATTTCTGCTTCCTGAACTACAGTAGATGAAAATCTGGGAGCGTGAATCGTAAACCAGGAAGCGCCGCAAGGTTCCTAATTAATGGCAAAGTTCATTGCCATTAATTCTGAATCTGGTCGTGGAACTCGAAACATCCACGGCCACGTGGGAGTCTTACATCATCGATGGGATACATGCACTTCGAGTTCTCCTGTAGGTAGGTCGAAGTATATCCTAAATGTCTTTGGATGGGAATATAGAGCGAATAATAACGATACGGAAGTCAAGTCACGTACCGTGCAATCTGCATCGCGTGAGTCGCGTTGTCACCGAAACAACGTCGTACGCGGCTTAATCATTAGCACAATTCCGCAATACGCTCGAGGTATTTGCGTGAAGCGAATATATGGACATAATGCGTCGACTAATGGCGACCTTGTCGTGATCTCCCGGGTGTTGTACTATGGTACACGGTCTGCATATGCGAAAATGTAGCGGCCCAACCCATCGGAAACCGTCTTGCTCGATTTCGAATTGGTTTCCAAGTTTCCGTAGAAAAAATATCTTCACTCGATATAGAGAATTTGCTATCATTTACAGCGTATTTTCGCGATGTTTGCATATTTTTAGAAGCTATAAAAATTAATTCATTGAATTGTAAATTATTCTTTAACTTCTTTTTTCTCTAATCTTCACTACTTTTAAACGTAATTTTAACTGCAAATGATGCAAGTTCAACAAACTCGTTTCAAGTGAAAGCAGAGTGGAAGCTTTTATTTCTATGATTTTTCCTCTTATATTGCACGCGGAGTTATTGACTTTTTTATGCCCTCAAAAGGATTTTACCGTTTATAAAATGGGAATATCGTTTTTGGTTGTATTTAATGGCGATATTATAACAAACTAAGATTAATATATCGTACCTCTTAGAGATTCTCTCAATCTATCTTCCGAAGTCGATTCGCATAAGTACGAACCAATAACATCGCTGCCGATATAGCTGAGATAATCGTGGTTGTCAGCTTTATTGGCTGGTTAACCGAAAGCCGCGAGCTTTAATGACTCGGCGTTTCACGCGTGACGATATTGATTGTCTGTGCTATTGCTGTTTATTATCCACGCCTACGTGCTAGTGTCAATAGATATTTCATGAGGTGGAAATGAAAGAAATGCCGCGCCGGGAGAACCGATTGACTGCACTTGTTTTTTTCCGACGCATATTTCACTCGTTAACATCAGAGTTACGAATGACACATTTTTGTACTATTTAAAATTCACGAGTAAATCGTTACTTCATGTAAAAAAATTCAACTTTTTTCATAAATCTTGACTCTTGAATATTTTTTATTTAAACTATATTTATTTATGCTATAGCTTATAACTATTTATACACTAGAAAAAAATTTCTAAATCTAAGTAATATTTTCTTGAATAGTATTAAGTAAACATTTCTTTACTGCAAATAAATATTTATTCAAAAAAAGGAAGTAATAAATAATACATGTTTACGTAGTAGATAATTATTTGCAATAAGAAAATGTTTATTTATTGTTACTATGTTAAAAAATATTACTTAGATTTAGGAAATTTTTTTCAATGTAGCTATCTCTTTCTTCATATCTTCCCATGTTAGTTTCTAATATCATCTATCATGTCTAATAATGCATCATGCTCCGAGAGAGTTTGGACCTAGAATGTGAAGTACATTTCACCCTATTCCACTCTGCTCACCTTAGCGTTATCGTGCCTTATGCAATGCTCCAATAAATGTAGCAAACTCATAACATCAGACGTGTTGCCGGAGAGCAAACACAGCGAGACGGTGAGATTCGGTCCACGCAGCATGCATGAACGGGCGGCGCGATAAATATTACACATAATGCACCGGTCTGTTTATTTCAACGTTGGCCGTTTGCTACTGCCACGAGCACAGTGACGACGGTGGATTGCGTAGCTCGAAATTCGCTAGTCGTCTATGTAGCAATCACACTGACTATGCCAGATTCAGAACGAGACTGCACTCTCGGCGATTTCATCCGCACACCTATCCAAATAAACTACTTTCCATCCTAATGATACTCTAAATGGCGCATGGAATTCGTACTGCTGTGGACTTTCCGATATCCATATCTACGCTTTAAACGATGCAATCTTACGCTATTTCGTTTCTCGATAGCGTATACACAAAGGAATACCGAAAGTTTAACAATATTCCGAATTGGCTAATTCTCTAACAATTCTGAAATTAATTCGCTTAAGTGGAAATTTTATTCTCAAATATAGTTTTTATTGGAGAGACTTCATAAGAGTAAAATATATTAGGGTTATTCAACCGGTGTGCTGCAAAGGATCTTAAAATGTGCTACGAAAATTTTAGAGAAAGTAAAAAAACGAAAAATTTTAGAAATAAATAAAAATTTATAATCAAAAATAAATTTTTAAATTAAATAAAAAACGAATATAGAGCGCAAAATGTTTTAAAAATTGTAAAAAAATATCTAAATTAATATATTGTGTGTGTGTATTCTCTCATTTTAACCAAAACAATCTCTCTCCATTGTAATAAAATCACTTTTAAAATGATAAAATAAAAAATAAAAAGTTTAGAACTTTGCTTTTTATTTTTGTACAAAAAAAAACAATTTTACTAAAGTATCTAAAAATTAAGAAAGTTAGATATCTGAAAATAATTTTGTTGAACTATCAAAATAATTAAAAGCATACTGAATAATGCTACAAAAAGTTTTGACATTCTAGAGTAGTTAAATGTCCTACATATCTAATTGTTTTGATAAGCTGACAAAAGTATTATATCTAGCTATACTTTTGGATACTTCAACATAACCGATATAAATGTCGTGTTATCTGATAAAAGATTTATGCTGAGCGCTGAATCATGTGCTAATGATGTATCTCGACAAATTTAGCTCGTTATTTAATGTGACGCGAATTGAAAAACGCTGGAATATATTTTAATAAATCAATATAAATAATAACAAAATTATGTATGATATATAAGCTTGTTTTTATCCTCAGAATGCAGCAAAAAGCTAATTAACAAGTGTATGAAGAAACCCTCTTATTACAATCATTTTTCCAATCAATCGACTCTTCCATTAAGGTGAGTGATTTGGTTCTGACTTATGGACGTGTTTTTAAACACGATTGCTAAAGAATTGTAGTAAAGAACGAAAGCGGATGATGTTCCGAGAAGAGTACAGAAGATAGGCATCGCGTGACAAAAGGGTGGAGGTGCATGATGTCGTGAGGCGCCACTTCAAGGCTGTTACATCGAAGAACATGTCCAAACGAACGTTTAAAAACGTTCTCAGACACCGCTGCCTTATAATTAGTAAATCTTTCATGCACGACGGACATAACAATTATTATCACAACCGGTAGTTAACTAAATTGTTTCCAATCTAAATTTATCATTTTCTTCGAATACATATTGGGTACACGTTGCTTCTTCGTGTGCATAATGAAGTCAGCAGCTTTGTTCGAAATCATAAAGTTGTTTCAATCAGATATTAAACAAACTTTCATGATTCAACAGTTGCTTTATCGTCCGTTTATAAATATAAATATAAATAATATCTATAAGCTAATCAAAAGTAAAGTGTGGAAAGTAATATTTATTTGCATCGCAAATTTTTTTCACAAATTCCAAAAGTATTTATAAATCATGGTATAATATCACAAAAGTTAAATCATATGATACACAGATAGAATGAATTTACTGAAAAATGTTTAAAAATTTAGCTATAAACAGATCTGAAAATAATTTTGTATTATTAAAATAATTATATTAGGTGTTGGAATTAATTCGTAGCGTTTTTTAATGAAAGAATGTTATTTATTTCACATGAGCAAAAAATACATTAATGAAAGTACTTCCCATCACTTGTAAAACGCTACGAATTAATTCCAACACCTAATATAAAACGCTCAAACTAATTATTAGAACATTAACACTTTTTGCAGCATCGCTCATCATGCTTGAGATTCCCACGCAATTATTTTCATTGTCCAACAAAATTATTTTCAGATAAGTGTCTAGCTGAATTTTTAGATACTTCAGCAAAATTGTTCTTTCCGTATACACTGTGATATTTTTTTATATTTAAAAAGATATCATTTAAAAATTAAAATATTCCGTTTTTTGTTAGTTGCATATTTAAATAACTTTTTCCTTCATTAAAACTAAATATTTTGTAATGGAAATACATTGTTGAAAAATATATTGTTGAAAGTATGAAATAAATCAGCAATAAAAGGACAATGTCGAATATTTCAATATTAAAAATTTATAATAAATTGCTTGAAGCTAAAAGTCGTTTCTCTGCTAAATAAATCATAATATTCGCGAATTAATGCATAAGCAGTAATATACGCCTAAAGAAATAATATCGATAAAAAAAAAGAGAATCTTGTTTTTTCATCTTACCTTGTCGAACGTCCAAGTATGGATCACCGACGTCATTCTCATGATAGATCACAGAATGCAATGTCTCATTTATCTCATGTGATGGAAAATAGTAATGCGCCCTTTCCACGTACCACGCACCACTTTTCGGTGATACTATCTTCCCATGGAAGACTCCATCACTGACACTTCCAAACACGTGGCTACCAGGTTCGCCTGAAAACAAAAAATATATTCTTGATCGTGACGATAAGAATATTTAAAAAGTTTTATCATATTAATCGTAGCAATAAATTTTTAAGAGTATATTTTCATTTGATTTAAAGTATAGTGAATTATTAGGTGTTGGAATTAATTCGTAGCGTTTTACAAATTTGTAAAATATAGATTTCTATTTAATTTTATAGATCTTTAAAAAATTATGAGTTAATCTTTAAATACAAAACATATATATATATATACATATAAATAATTATTATAATACAAACACCTTATATTAATTATTATATATTTTCCAAAAAGATACCAAAAGAGATTGTAAAAAGATATCTCAATTTTTATTTTTTCTTCCTTTGACACGATTAAAAGGAAAGAAAATTATGAAAGTAACATGGATATTTGGATAAATGTAAATAAGAAACCATATTCGAACGTGACTCGCGCTTTGCTTGAAAAAGTATCGACGATGGTATAAACTTCTCTCGGTAAAACTTTCTGCACCAGAAACTGTCGGCTTACGCAGCAACTTGCTCTTGCTGTCTAGCTATCTAATTTATACGTTTAACCGAGATGCACGTAGGAAAATTAATAGCGCGTATATTTTTATCTTTCCACGAGGATAAAAAATTTTAAAAATTAAACAGACTAAAATAGAAACTTGATTTAATTATAGCGTTCAAGAACGTATAAATATGTAAATTTGGTGTACGCAGAATGTAAATTTAGTGTTCTCTATAGTAATGGAATATTTCATATACAGATGGTCTGTACCAATTTTCTCATCTAGAATTAAAAAAAATTCTGTAGCAGTACTCTGTATGGCTGATATGATGGTTCAATAATAAAAACTATATAAAATTTAACTTGAATTTAAATGGTTTTATTTTTAATATAAAATACTTGTTAACGTTTATTTAAAAATAACAAAGAAGATTTTGATATTTGCTTGTACCAATCAATTTGCCTAATAATTTCCAATCAAAATCTTTTATATCTTTTATAATACTTTCTACTTGTAACTTATAAATGTTGATCCTGCATCTTGACACATAATAACTAGATGTTCTTTTTAATTAATCCTCTAATATGCGTAACTCTTTCGTGATCAATGGGACATATGATGTGTATTAAAAATTTATTTATTGTCACCTTTATTTCATTCCAGTTTCATTAAAATGTTCATCAATGAAAATTATAAAAAACATTATTTTATAAAATAGGTCACGAAAAGATTTAAAAAGTGGTTGTGGTTTTTGACAATTATGTCATAAAGCCGCTTTCCAAAATAAATGATATTATGAAATTAATATTTTACGTTAAAATAAGTGATATTGCAAAATTAATATTCCAAAAGAAATAATATAACGGAAAAAAGGAATGCCTTTTTATCAATCATCTACAAAATTCAAAAATTCAGATTCCACAGTTATATCATCCGATTTGAGAATCTCATCAATAAAACGTGCAATGAATATTTTATTTTTCTTTGTGCAAAAGAGCTACGTTTGTCAACAAAAATATATTTGACTCTAAAGGAAATGTTGGAATCGTATCTCCGTCGTATTACGCATAGAAAATATTTTGCAACACATTTTCATTGGACTAACACGTCCAACGTGAAAAGATAGTAAGTACTGAATCATTAAAATCGCAGAATAAAATCTTAACATATTGCAGATAGCAGATAGTAGACGATAATAATAGAAAGAATATTTAGGAAGCGTTTCGCGCATATCCTTTTTCTCTTTAGATAATAGATCGCAGGAAAATGAAGTCGCCCGCACAGCCGAGCTTATCACAATTCAAAATTCCTTTTGCTGCAAGAATAAAGGGAATCTTTCGCTTCCGATACGGAAAACATTTCAGACAACCTCTAACGTCACTTTAGAGTTCTTCTTCGCGCTTATGCACACATATTTTCTAGAACTGACATTGTTCTTTAAAGTTTTAGATATGCAAAAATATTAAATCAAGAATTTGTTAAAGTATTATAGTATATCATATAACGTCTATAGAGACTTCTTTTATGATAAAGGAGAGAAAAAGATTTTTCAAATAAATTTTCAAAATTATCTAAAAAACTAATTTAAAAAATAATCTTCAATATTTTTTAAAATTTAAATTAAAATCATATACAAGTTACATTTTTCTGTTTTTTTTTCCGCCGAAAAATTTAAAGTATATAAGATACATTTTTCTTTTGTTTAATCACAAAGCTTTTCACAGGCTTTTGACAAGCATACTTCAAATAACTTAATGTTAATAATAGTGACAAAGTCTTCATCGACTAAATCGACGACTTAAAATCTCTTCAATCTCTAAATTAAGATATAACTTTCGTGGCATTATCCAAAGGAAACCGGGTTGCGGAAAATTGTAATATGATAGATAAACCGTTTTCCACTTGAGTCATAATTCGAAACGTTGCTCCCATAAATCATTAGAATGAAAATAAAAGTCCCACCTGATATCTATGCTGACACGCACTTTTGCGTATCACACCTGGCATCGGGAAACGTTGCGGAAGTGATACAAAGAAATAGTACCGTCTCATTGAGAATACATGCTGCAGATTGCAACCAGAACATATACCGACGACAAAACGAATGCGGAGGTTGGACAGACCACTGAATGTGTCGCGGTTACATTTAAGTATGGTTCTTTGTTTGTACAGTTGAAAGCACTCTACTTCTATTAAATTTAGTTTATTTTGAAGTTCTTTGAATGTGCAGGATGTCTTATAAGGATAACGTTAAATTTCAGTAACATATTCTGAGGTGAATTGAAGACGGCTTTCCTTCAGCTGAGATATATTTGATTTCATATTTCATTGCAACTTTAAAATAATAAATATCTTGAGAATTCTACGTGTTACGTCAAGACTGCTAAAATTAATTTTCGCTTGGCATAAAAATAATATCGCTTAAATCACCAAAATCGATAATTTGGTAATTATATTATCAAAGAGATTCACTAAAATCTGATAAAAATTCCTTGAATATTTCCGGATCTTCTAGATATTTTTACTCAAATTTCAGATAAAAGTAGAAAATTGTTACTATGCAATTTTGATATAAATTGGAGTGCAAGCAACACAAACAAATTGTATATTAAAAATTAGTGGAAGACAAAAATTCCACGAGGCTATATTTATCATTTTCTACAATTGGAGTCACAAAATCTATAGAGAAGATTCATTACAATACAGTAGTGAGCTGCTACTGTCTTCTATTGAATGTTGTCTTCTATTATTATTCAAATTTTTGTTATACAAACTCAGAGATACACAAAAATGTACGTAAATAATTCCGGATATATATGATATATTTATTACTAGTTGATCTATATTTTGCATTATCAAAAAAAATCAAAGAAACAAGATTTTTTAGACAGAAATAAAATTTAAATTTAAAAGTAAAATTCCAAAAATTTTCCCGAGTGCCGAATAAAATTCCATGAAAGTCCCTGATACATTTTCAAGGATAAAAAAGAAATCTCCTAAAATTCCAGGTTTTCTAAATTTTTTCCGGACAGTAAACACCCTGTTTTATACTTCAATTTATATTCCAATGGAAAAAAGTTTTCTGTGTTATATCCTCCTGCAATATCCACCATATTTCCATTTTTTTCCTGTACTATTACAAAATTAATGGTATTATAAATGTTACACTCGCAAATAAATACAATATTTAAATGTTAAAATTTATAATTTCTAAAATCATTTCGATATTTACTCCGAATCCTCTTAGCCTTTACTTCCCTTTGGCGTACATACAATCGTTTTATTACTTTTGCAAAAACAAATGCCTCCATTTCTCTCGCAATAAATATTTTCAGAGGATGTTGCGACTACGAGTATAAACACAGACACTCATACAATTTTATGCCGCTATCTACGTGACCCTCTCGCAAGAAGAAAGCTCGAACGATCGCTGCCGATCGATTTTGTGTAACTTTACATTGCAAGCATCATTTATGCAAATATATAGGGCACCAAGAAGATTGCAGACTTGATGTCATAATCTACAAGTCTATATTTGGAAAAGTGTATGTTGTATTGTGTGTGTCAAATATACTGCAGATATACTGTTCAAGTTGCAGATCTCTACCACATTATAGTACATACACGAAGTATCTCTGAGTAGGTTCTAACGACAGATATTGTAGAAATAGTTGAAGAACATCACGTTGAGAAATATATTGTAAAAATTACTGAATAAAAGAAAAACAAATAAATTAATTGTAGGTGATGTACAATTTTAGCATCGATCGATGATAATATGCACGACGAATATAATGTAATGTTGAACGATCGTATGTATACGATCTATTTCGAAAGGTCAAACAAAAATAAAATCGCAATGTTAAATTTACAGAAATATCAATAGAAATTGCAAGCAGTCAATCTTGATTCTATTTCATTAAAATAATAATATTAAATCGAGAACGTTCTTGGAAGCTTCATACATAATCAAATAAGAGAACGGGATTGCGTAATTTCATAATATTCGTAACGTTATACGAATTGTGTTATTTACTTATCAAACTTCGAATTGTGTTTAATTACACTAGTCTCCTTGCATCCAGAAACAGATATGGATTTAACGAATAATTAAAGGAAAACGCGGAAAATATCTCGTAAAGATATATCGTAAAACATACCAACTAGGTTGCCTTGATAAACGTGAGAGACGTCAGAGTTGTACTGTCTCTCCCCCGTAGAGCCTTCAATAATTAAATTGTTGCTAAAGGTGGTCGAGTCTCGTTTTAATCGAATGTGGAAGTCCTTGCCGTGCGCGCGAAACTTTAACGTCACGGTACTGTCGCGGTTGATCGACCTCTTCGCCCTCAGGTGACTTCGATGGACTTCCTCGACAGGGTATGACAGCGTTTCGTAGTGGCGGATGTACTCGTTCAGTCGACGAGCTGCAAGAAAAATATAAATAAATTCTTAATACATTTGAAGTCAATCTTCATAAAATAAGTGTTAAATTAAACTTCATCCAATTTCCAATTCCGATTTGCTGCAGCCATGAAACATTAAATAGCCTAAGACTCAATTTAAAGTTCATTATGTGGAAATCGACGTATATAAAATTATTATGCAAGTCGCAAATGTCGAGCATTTTCTTTAAACCATGAACAGAATTATATTTTATTCTATGAAGTTTAAAGCGCATTACAGATATAATAGCCAGCCAAATTCGAACGTGCAAAAACTCTACCGGGAGCTTCCTAAAACATTCGTAGATCGAATAATTCAGCATCCATCGCGCAGATTTGTGTGTATACCATATACAATAAAAGCTTATTCGAAGAGAGAATTAGATCTCTTTTCACTTAACAAGTTTCAGTCCAGCTCATATTGCACGATAAAAACGAGATGATCTAATCTGTTACTGATTGAGAGAGAACTGAATAGAAAAACCCTCCAGAGATTCACTTCGGAATTGCGTTGCGTAACTCATCTCTACGTTAACGAGACAAAATGCTCTACGAAGAATGACCTGGTAGGAGTTCCCCTCTTTCGCTTCGCATTGCTTGTAATTTGCAAAAGCACAACATGAATTTATATCAGGCGACTTTTGTTCGCGAAAAAATCCGGAGTAACCGTGCGCGACAAAAGGGATGCTATGGCCGCGCTACGCAGAGAGCTACCACAATCTCGCCAGGTTTTATGTATCTGCCTGGCGATACGAGGGTTGTGCACCGGCATTCTCTTGCTGTCCAGAATCCCAAACACTTTCCGCGAGATGCACGCGATATTCTCAGCAAGCTCTCGGAACAACGTCGCCGTAGTGTATGAATATTATGGAGGGCAAAAATGCACTTTCCTCGTCGCGTCATTTAGCCGATTTCTAAAGAGCGCCTCGCAAGCATTATACTTTACGAGACGCACTACCTCCGCTACCTCGCATTCACGATAAGTGCAATTGCACAAATGAGTCAGCCCGATGCCAGACGCGTAACTTTTAAGGCTGATCACGGTAAATGAGGCATGTAATTCTCGAAGTTCTTAATGCTTTTGAGCCTATTTGCCATGTGAACAATGCTAAATTGCGTCGCACCAAATGAAGATATTCGTCTCCGAGCAGAAAATTTCACATTATGCGTGATATAAGATTTATCTTTATAGAAATAGATTATTCTTTTTTCGCTCCGATGACATGTAGTTACAAAGCGAGACCATTCCATTATCCCGGAAATTCGATATCCGGGAAGTTTGATATATTTTTATTCATGAAGAGCTATTTTTATAAATATCGCGAAGAATTTACGAAAAGTCAAGAGAAGTAATTTATGTGTCCAGAGAGAAAGGTAGAAGGAAATGAAACTGTTTTATGATCGGTATTTTTATCTTGACGTCAGACATTTAATCTCATTATGCGCTGAAGAATTACGTGATACTGCACCCAGTATCCGAGAAATCATGCAAGAGTGCATTGCGTTCGAGAGCTATAATTATAGCATCCTATTAGGCACAGGACTGAGTATCATTCCTCTTTCCATTACTTATTCTGATACTTAAACGACATCTTTTAAACGTATTTAGTGCTGCAATTTACGGACATCAAAAGAAATTCTGATACCGAGTGATAATGCAACTGAACTATTTTTCGAGATATTTCACTTCCACGTAATATATTGCAAGTGGAAAAATTGATTTTTATGAAAGCGGGCAGCCTGTACTTTACTTTAGCTTAGTGAACACGGGAATTTTAAAAAAGAAGACAAGTAAACGTCAAGGCTCTCTAGGTTTCATTCTTGTAGTATTGGAATAAAGAAAAATTTTACGGTAAGCTCGAAATAAGCTGATTGTCCTCGCTTAGGACTCTCGTCTTCGCCCGTCAAATCAAGCCATCGAAGAAGGTTGATACCTTCTTAAAGTCGAACAGAAACAGTTTATCAACCAACGTTAAAGATCCATTCACGTTAAAGAAAACGTTTCATTGTTCATTTGTTATATAGTAATGAGATTATATTAGCCCGCTATATATTTATAAAATAATTGCAATAATCGACATGACATTAGCCAAGGTATAAGAATCAATAATAAGATCATATATTATTAATAAATATAAAATTAATTGTTCCTCTTAATGAAACATTAATTGAATAGCATCACTTTTTGCTTCTCAATTTTCGATATAACAATACAATTATTGGATGAACGCGCCATGCCATCTTTACAATTTTATAACTTTAACGAAACAGTATTAAAATAATTAATAAACAAAATTTGTAACGTTTTTATAACGCCTTGATAATTAAGCTTTAGATTACAATTTCATTAAAGTTAACGTGAATTAAGAAATCAGATCCCTTGCAATGTATTTACACTTTATTCGTTAAGTATATGTTAAGTTAATTTCCAATGCTCTAAACAATATTGTAATTATATTATTATGGAACAGATTCATTAATAATAAATTCTGTTTTACTAAATCTCGTATATTTCGGTGAATACCCAGTATCAAATAAAAAGTCGGAAAACGAGATGCGACTCGCTTCCACATTTCCATCCGCTCTCGAATGAATAGAAGGATTTGAAACGAAACATGAAAACGTATCGACATCTAAAGCTGCAGGGACGCATATGATGCATGAGACAGACTGCGACGACGTACCTTTTTATGCATTGTAGCGGGAGGCGGATCGATACGTGTTCGTATAACGTTACTAGTTTATCTCAGAGCGTGAAAATTCCGCCGGTTGTAGCGCAAAGAAATAAATCAAATGCGCCTGCATCTTTCCGGTGCAAAAAATATACCTCTGTAATGCGTAACGAACGAATGATATTTCGAATATGCGATAAATAGAATAGTTCGCGTCCTACGTAATGATAAAAATAAATTCCTCCTACAATCATTTTCATCGGCAAAATCACAGAATCATATATATAGAATTAATAGTTTATCATACAATTAAATATAATTAAAACGAAGTTGCATAAGAGAGCACACTTTGCCAAATGCATCTCATCTGGCTTATTCAACATAAATCTCCTCACCTTTCGCTTTTCCCGGATGATCGAATGTCCGATGGACCATGCGATAGACACGGTCAAACTTATTTCGTTCGTTGTTTGCAGCATGGAATAAAAATCAAACAAAGTGAAAAATGTAACGTACCTCATAATCCTGTGCCAGAAACAAAGAGACACTAGGAAATGAAGAGTCATTACTGCGTTTCAATGTAATTTCATCCGCCGTTGTAATCCTATTCACTTTCAAGAGGATGTAGTAAATGAATAAAGCGTTCGATGCAAACTCGGTTTACAAACTGTCAAGGAAATTAAATCAGCCAGAAAAATCTTTTTTTACAATCTGATAACTATGAGATAAAATGAAAACAAAAAAACAATTTCAATATTTTTACTTCAAATAGATGTAATCAATATTCGAAATTGTGTACGTAATAACAACAAAATTAGAATCATCCGAACTTGCATAATAATAGAATTTTACTCGAAAAATCCTTGATTAATCGCTGTGGATTGTTATGAATTCACAATGAGCTCGGTTCCTAAATAAAACCCGCTTCTATAACTGTGAACGACTTCTTTGAATAATATTTATCGCTTTATCCAAGTTTTAATTACGCTGTAACGAACGTTTCCAATATTCTGGCGCTGAAAAAATAACTTTAGCCACGGTAGGACGACAAAATCCATCTCGGAATGATAGGGACGTTGGTTTTGCAACTACTTTAATGCATCGAGGAGAAAAAAACCAAAAGCAATATTCTGAAGAGACGAGAAGGGATGATATCGGAAAATGAAGAGTGGTAGCCTACTCCTCATTCTATCCCGCAATTTTCCGAGCTGTATCTTCAGCCACGCTGGTATTCTTTCGCGCGAATTGCATCGAAAACGCTCCTCGAAGCGCCATGATATTTGGATACGAAGATGAAGGTGTGGCGAGACCGGGAACAAAAATGCAAATTGTGTCTACCCGGCGGGAACCATCAATCCTCTCGTTGTCGTCGTTCTCTCGTAACGCGACAAAAGCATTGTTTAAACCTCTAATATATTTTGAAACGCGAAATAATCCTTTGTATTTTTAATATAAATTATCATGCATGCATAATTTTATGTATATTATTTTATAATTTTTTTTTCACATACACGGTGTCCTGAGTTTCGCCAATATAAAGACGATTCTTTTAAAAAGAGAACTTTAATGCTTATTTCATCTTTTAATTAATTTTTTAATTGATGACCGTTTTATGTAGTGCTTGGATAATACAATATATTATAATACAAAAAACATGTTTTGTGAACGTCCTTTGAAATAATTTATTCCAGTTCTGGGACCTTTGTTTAATAATCCTTGACCTGCTTAATTCTTATTATATGAGTTTTGTATTATATAATGTATAATTTTAGTTGACTCGTTTGTTTAAATTTTATTTGAATTCGTTCCACTTTGCATTACATGTATGCTTTTCTTTTAGATTATAAAAAGGTTTTATTTTGTACGAATGTATCAATAATAAACAATTTATCAAAAACACTTTTAGTTCTATAAATTCTTTCTGTAATAAATAATTCTGTAATTTTATCATTCTTTCTGAATTGCATATTTATGTGTTTCGTTGATTTTTTTAAAACTTTATATAGAAAGAACAATTTTGCTAAGGTATCTATTAACTAGATATAGATTTGAAAATAATTTTGTTGGAATTTCCCAAATGATGAGCACTGTAAAATGTTTTGACATTCTAGCAATCAGGTTAAACATTCTACATAATTATTTTGATAGGCCAACAAAATTATATTTTCAGATTTGTATCTATCTAAAATTTTAGAAACTTCAACAAAACTATTCTTCCCATGTATATTCTCAGTATATGATCGAACTATATTTAATACAGAATTCGCAGTGATTGCGATTGCGAGATCGTCACATTCGTTACGTCGAAGC